GGTTTGCCCTCTTGGCTGCCAGGGCACACTGCTGACTCACGTTGAGCCTGCTGTCGACCAGCACCCCCAGATCCCTTTCTGCCGGGCTGCTCTCCAGCCACTCTTCTCCTAGTTTATACTTGTGTCTGGCGTTACTCCGTCCTAGGTGCAGAATCCGGTATTTAGACTTGTTAAATTTCATCCTGTTAATCATAGCCCAGTGTTCCAATCTATCTAGATCCCTCTGCAAGGCCTCCTGTCCCTCGAGAGTCAACAGCACCTCCCAGTTCGATATCATCAGCAAACGTGCTAATGGTGCATTCAACTCCTGCATCCAGATCGTTGATAAATATATTGAACAGAACTGGCCCTAGAATTGAACCCTGAGGAACACTGCTGGTAACCGGTTGCCAGTCAGATGTAGCCCCATTCACTACAGTACTTTGAGCTCTGCCCTTTAGCCAGTTCTTCACCCAGCGCACTGTGAACCCGTTTATCCCACAGTCAGACAACTTGTCCAGAAGGATGCTGTGAGGGACAGTATCAAAAGCCTTACTAAAATCCAGAAAAGCTACACCCACCACCTTCAACCACTAGGCGGGTGATCTTATCATAGAAGGATATCAAATTAGTTAAACAAACAGTATATAAATATGCTAATGCCAGTTGTGGCATCTTTTTGCTGTGTTTTTAATCAGCTGACCTTGCTTTTTTGGGGGGCGGGGCGCGGGGCAGAGACTTCCAAAGAAGCTATTAAATATGGGAAGTAGATGCTTAATGAGACCTCGCTATATAGGCAGGATTTCTTTACTGAATTGGAACAATCTCTTTCCTACCAGAGTGTTTTTTCTCCCTTCATACTGGTCTTGTAACTTCCTGAGTAAATCTGAGTGTTTTTGCACTGCCTGTTTATAGACTTAAAATCTTTCTTGAAGGCCTCGATTAAATGTTATTTGATATTGCTCTAATAGCTACTCAGTGAAACCTCTAATTTGAACACAGCTTTATTTTTATATAAGTTTTGGAATTCTAATAGTGTCTCTCAAAATTTCAATTTAGAGAATTCTGTATGGCAAATCTAAGCCAAATGACAACATGACTTCCTTAGTTTACCAAACCAAATCCTCCTATTGGTCTGAAGACTAAAAGTGGAAAATGGCTGTGTAATATGTATGTAGTAAGTGTACCAGTGTAAGCTGCTCTGTAGTGACAGTTTTGCTCAGGGTATCATGGTCATGCTGCTTAACTGGGGCTTATTTTCATGTTCTTCTGGTTCCAGTTGTGATGGCTGAAGATGTTACTATCCCCAGCTGCTTCCCCATCTCCCTTGATGGGAGGGGTTTTTTCTCCCTTCAGATCTTTCAGCTCAGCTCTTAGGAATCCAACCTAGTTTCAGAGATGGGTGAGAGAGAATCCAGTACTAAATGCTGGAATAGGTGCGTGCTGGGGTTTGGGGTTTGTTTGTTTTTAAAGAAGCAATCCCTCCTCCCAAACTCCCTCTTCTCTAACATCCACAGGCTTGTACACAGATGGCCTTAGAAGCTGCAAGTATTCAGTAGCACTGAAAATAGAGATCGGTATCGGGAGACATGTTGTAAACTGCAGAAGAATGGGATGAAAAGCTTTGTTATAATTTTTGCTACTTAAATAACTGTTTTCATTTGCATTGGGATACACAGGAGAATCCTGACATATGGTTCTTGAGACCCCTTCCAGCTTCTCTGCTTAAAGCACTTGCTCTGACGGCTATGTACCTTCTGCTGCTCCACTCATCTCTGATGGATAATTTGATGTCTGACCTAACAACTGTAGTACATGATTATTTAAATGCTTATAGGACTGGGTCCGGAGATCACCTTGGGAGCACAAAGGTAGGTGCTTGTTTGTGTCTTTGCTTGTTTCTCTGGTTAGTGATTTGATCTAAGTCTCTGATGGATAAACTCTGGAGGACCTAGCTACAGCAGCTTCCTTTTCTGCAACTGTACACCCTACTTTATGCCACATACTTTGTTTCCTTTGTGCAGCAGCAGAAGTGATGGTGTCTGTATCTACCTAGCTGCATTTCATGTTAGTCCATGAGCATAAATCCACCTCAAGTTAGTATTGTGGATGGTGAGCTGCAGCTGTTAAGGCGTGGGCACAGGCACATGTGCCTTCTGTTCACTAATCTGAGACTGAGAACCTCTGGGCTCAATAGGGGCTGTGTACGTGCGAGGGCATGGAGAGGGACAGGCAGTTGTGAAGTGTTGGTACCTGGAGCTGCCAGAGTGGCTTTGTTTTGGTAAGAGCATTTAGTCCCCAAATCTTGTTCTATTTTTCGCCTATTCTGTCATCTTTACTGCTGAGCTGTTTTGCATATACTGGCTGTTTCTGAGAAGTGTTGTCTCTTGTTGGCCAAAGATTTTTATTTCTGTAAAAGCATCTCTGAGTTATCTTGTCTTCCAAATTTATTCTCACCTGTGTTATCTAAAAAAGAAAATAAGTCAGGTAACACTTTTCATCTTTGGTTACATAGAACCAGTAGTATTGCATGCCCAGATACCTTGGAGTGGCTCTTGTATGGTGGACACTTCTGTAATTGCTTGTTAATTTTTAAAGCAGGGGGGGAAACAAGATTTTTGGTTCAGGAGCTTAACTTCCTGCACTAATGGAAAGAACAAGTCCATGCAAACCAAACAAGCAGTGGTATTGGTGTGGTCTTTTTCTGTCTTCTCAAAGAAGTAATCTTAGTAGGGCTTGCAATAACTGTGTAAGATATTGCTGGTGTTAAATTTGGGTGAAAAGTGAATGGTCAGACATCCTCATTCATCGCAAAGAGACCGAATTAACATGATTAAATCCTGTTACCGCCTCATTTTTGCAGTTGTAAATGTCTTGAAATATTTATTAGGAAAAGAGAATGCAGGTCTGTCTTCATGGAAGAAATTGTCTTTTTCCTTGCCCTGGTTTAACAAAGCACTCAAGCACGGACTTGAATCCTTTGGCAATTGCTTAAGGGCTCAGAGCAGTAAATCCCGTTATTGAGGATTTAGGAGGAGATTAGTTTAGATAACCACAAGAGGTCATAGTTGCTTCACAGATGGAAGAGAAGAGGTCATATCTGAAAACCTTTTCTTTTTAGAGGAGAGCTGCCAAAAAAAGAAGGCTGTTCATAGTTCATGGAAAAAAAAGAGCTTGACATCTGAATTACCAATGTGAAATGCATGCAACAGTAGGCATGACACAAGGGAAAAGAACAGTCTGTTAAAGTGAAGAGAGTACAAATTCTGTTTTGCATTGGGCTATTTGTTTGTAGAATTTTTTCTAAAGTGGTACTTAGGTGCTGAAGCCAATCCTTTTGTAAATCCATTTATTCCATAAGATTAGCCAAGGAATTAATCTGATCCTGAGCATTTCAAATGGCATTTTGAAGATCTATTTAATACCACATCTGATAATCATACTTCTTGCAGTTGCTTTAGAAATCTTGTAGTATGGATAGTAAAAGTAGCCATTTTCACCATCATTTCACTGTTAATAATTTTCTGTTGTTTCTGTATCTTGTGAGAAGATCACACAAATGAAAGTTTCTTCTACTTTATTTAAAATCTGCTTGCAATATATATTTAAATTCCAAATATGGAGTTTGGCTTAGTTAAATCTGGTCTGTTGCTTCAGTTTCTTCACTGAGTAAGTAAATGAAGTTAACTTTAAGGGAATCCTTTGCAAGTTGATGAGTTCAGCTAAATCTGTTTTAAGGAAGAAAAAAAAGGCCAAAAAAAAGGCCAAAAAAAAAAAAAGTTTGTGCAACTTCTAGGTTTTCTGGCTAAGTCTGTATTAATTCCCCGAATCAAAAAGCCTTTATTCAGATCTGATTCTCAGAATGAAGTAATAGTCAAGATACTTACTCCCCCCCGTATTTATTCTAGTGCTTTTTCAAGGATATTTAGAAGTAAAGTTTATCCATCACTAAGTTCTGTGTTATGCCTTCTGTGCACTTTGTGGAGCTACAGTTGAAAGTTACCTGGAAAATGCTTTTACTGGGCTATTTTACTTTTTACACTGACCAGTTACAATTTGCACTTGTGCTCCACCTCAGACCCTTGGTGAACAGCAGTCTGGTACAATGAGCTTGACTTCATCTTGGAGCCAGTCTCCAGCAACAGCAACACCGGAGTCCCTATGCTTGATGACTGTTCTCTAGACATGATCTGGTGCAGTCCCAACACTGTCAGCAGAAATAATGGATGGTCCTTGGATTCTGAGGTAAATACCCATGCCAGGGAAACATTTTGGAAACCTGAAATGTGTTATCTACTATGCTCTCTCCATGCTGGAGAGCTGGAAGAGAGGCCTCTGTTGCTGAAGCAGGACTACAGCAAAGCCAAAGACTATAAATGCTCCAGAGCCATAAAGATACCTTGCACTACTTCAGCTTCTAAATTGGAAGGTGGACATAATTTCTGAGTGAACAGGAACCATCTGTGGTACATCAAGCCTTTACTTGAAAGTTGTGGGAGTGAAAGCTACTAGGCAAGAGAGTCTCCAGGTTACTGTGGCCTCTTTGACTTACAGGCATTTGGAGAAGATGAGCAGATCTGGAAACAGACTGACTTCCATCACTCCAGGTAAGGAATCTTCTTCTGGGCCCTTCTCTGTTCTCTTTTAGTTCTTGGATTGTGCTCTCTGAACAGAACCACCAGATCTTCCGCCTTTTGACAAAGGGAAAGTTAGTTATGTAGATATGCCTTCTGTGCCTCTGGGCTACAAAGGTGTTTGAGTAGGTCATACCTGACTAGAGCAATGAACAGAGCCATGCTTCCCTGGCCTGCTCTTTTTTTCTCTGATCTTATTGAATGACATCATGTCACACAGAAGAATGCTTTTTTTCCTTCTCATTCCCCCAAACTTATGACACTCCCATGGAAAATATACTTGCAAAACCAGTACACAGATGCAGGCACAGTTTCAATCATGAGACTTCATTAAAAATGAAGTACTGAAGCTGGATGGAATACATAGCCACATTCTTTCCCATCTCCAGCTGTCACATGTTGAATCTCAGCTCCTGGATAAGGGTTTACAACATTGAACTTCAGCTTGGACTAGCATGGTAGCATCCTCCTAATCTTTCCTGGGTCACTGCCACATCCAGAAGTTCATAATGCCAACGGCTTTTGTGTGTAATAACAGTATCAGGCTATACTTTGTGAAAAAGATGCTTTGGCTTTCCAGTCTGAGGTTGCCTGTGAAGTGAATAATGCTGAGTAATGACCAGTAATGTTGAATAATGACTACTGGGGCAGTTACCTACTCTCTCCTTCTCTTGTCGAATCAGGGGGTTCAGCCTCTGGGAGCAGATCTGGACCAGACCCTGTTTTTTCTCCTCTTGGAAATAGCAGCAAAGAAAAGTGAATATGCATAATCATGGAGTAAAAGCCAAGCCTGTTCACCTGCCCTTATGGATCACTGCATCCACTGAGAGTTGAGGAAAGACAGGTGTGAATAAGGCTGATGAATGTAATTGTCACCACCCTTCCTTGGGCTCTGTATGCCCAATCTCTGCAGTCAGTTTTCCACATGCATCTCTTGTTCCTCAGTGAGAAGTTTCTGTATGCTCTAACAGGCCCCCATTAGTGGCAGAATACAAGAATCACTTTCTGGCTAAATGCACAGCTCCTACTAGGGTCAGATCATCCTTGTGGCCTTCAACATGTTCAGGAGTGCTTGATTTCAGACTTATGCATAATTGCATGTGCCTGTGTCTAATTTTGCTTTGTTTCTTGAACATGCATGACTGGTGGGGGTTTTGTTTTGTTCCAGCCTATTTTGACAGAAGCTTGTACTTTCCTTAAGACAAGTTTTCATAAATAATTTGATGGGAACAAAGTCCTAGGTTGTCAGAGGCCATGGATAAGCTGGTAGAAATGGAGATTAATGGCAGTTTATTGCTTTCTCAGCAATAAACTGGTAAGAGTAGAGCAAGCAGCAGTTAGGTATTTTGTGCAAATAGTGTGTTGGAGTCTGTTTGACTTGGATATCGTAATTCTTGTGAGCAATTGCAGCAGTCACTGGTGGTAGTCCTGGTTTCACCTGAGGTTTCAACCATTTTTTTCTTCCCCTTGATCTTTCAGATGTTTTGCTGGAAGTGGCAAAGAAACAGAGTCCAGTGGTCAGCCAGTGGGCAGCACTTCCAGCAAGACTTCCACCTTGCTTCTGGACAGCCAAACACATTCTTTTGTCATTTGGTAGTTGTTTCAGCAGTAACAGAAGATGTACTGAGGAGCTGGCCCTTGAACTGGTACGCCAGGTGAGAGACATGCTGTCAAGGTGGTAGGATGCAACTCCATGGATTAGAGCTTCCTTCAAGAAAGGGTTGCAGAAAAGATGGGTGTCATGCATCCTAGCAGTTGCTAGCAACAGTAAAGTATTGCCAGTGGTCCACAGCAGCCAAAAATGATAATGCCACGCCCTTGTTGATGTAGTACTGGGAGAAGAGAATGAAGAGGAAAATGGAGGAAAAAAAAAAAAAAAAGGGGAAATAAAAAGAAGGGCATCTCATTGATCCTGACAGTTTTGAAAATGTGTGTTGACACTTGCTGTGGTTTCTTATGTTATCACCTGCAAGTAGTAGTTGAGTCTTCTGAATAGTGGACACTCCCTCCTAAGCAACTGACTTTTTACCCACAAACCAGATGCAAGACAGTAACCTCTGATCCCCAGCGCTTCATTATCAAATACCTCAGCTTCCCTCTTCAGCATCTTTCTCAAACTGATAATCTTCCTTACTGCTGAGGGGGAGAACTCGACACAAACTTCCCACCCTGAAGGTCTCTGCAGTTTCCTGCATTTCCAGCATAACTGTCTGCCAGGAGTAATTGTTCTTCTGGATGCCGACGTCAAGTAAAATGGGTTTCTGTGCATCTGCAGCTGTGTCACTAGAAAAGAGCTAGTAAAGGAGCTGTATGTGCTACATTTCTAACTGTCCTTGTAGATTCATATTGTGTGTTGTTAGGTACTTGGAAATGCAGCTGCATTCTGATATTTAGGACGTAAGATTCAAAGAAGCAAACGCAACCTGGGAACCCATCAGCATAAAGAAGCAAATGTTCTCCTAGAAGTGCAGTGCTTTCTTGTTTAAGTGGTTATAGTTCACGAGCAGAGCTCTGGTACCATAAGGGAGTCGCACACCCCTGTGCAGCAGAGTTGATTTCCCAATGCACTTAAGGTAAAGCTGCAGTAGATAAGGTGCAGTGCAGTATATAATACCAGGTAACACGTTCATGACATATGATGGCATAAAATCTGTTCTCTGTCTAAATATAATTGCATGCCTGAGCCAGAAGGTTTCCTAATTGGCAGGTGAGTTGGGACTGCACGCAATGCGTATTAATCATTATGAACGTACAGCCTGAATTTTCGTGCAACTTGGCTTGAAGTGATTTGGGGCGTGGATTACCTCTCACTGTAGGATACTGTAGCAGTTAGGAAGCTGGATGTAAATTCTTCTGGTTAAACAACTGAAGGTGGGGTGTTTTCAAGTAAGCGCTTGCTCTGCTTTCTTCTGTAATCCTGTCTGAATTATTTAGCCTTCCTCTGGATCTGTGCAAACTTCTAGATGTAGGTTTTGTGAGGCATGTCTTCCTTTTACAAAAGCCATGGTAAGTCTTTTCCAGTACATCGCATCTGAATATCCACTCATTCTGTTCTGAGTGTTTCTACCAGTATGCTCATACAGACATCTGACTTACCAGCATGTTGCTTCCTGTATCTTTCCCGGGGCCTTCTTTAAACATTTACCATCTTCCAATCCCTAGGTATCAGGGCAGGTTTTAAGCAAGATACTAAAGTTACTAGTTTAGCTTTTTCATCTTCCACTGTTCAGGAATTTTGGGTGAAATCCACCTTGCTGTTTGTATTTCAAGTATTGGTATTAAGTATTTATGGGACAATCTGAAACAGATTCTGGGTACATAATGAATGTTTTTGGTGTGGGAATCTCCACTTTTTTTTTATGCTGAATGTAGAAGAGAAAAGTTGTGTTTTTTGCCGTGTTGCTTTTGTATTCTGATCGTCACTTGGCCCTGCAGCATGGTTGACGTTTTGTGCTCCTCTCATGTAAAGAATTTTTTTTATTAGTTCTGTTATACTTTTGTTAAATATTAATAAAATTATTCTGGCCTGCGCTTTGTTTTTTCTGTAACTTCATTCTTACCATTTTCTTGACTTGGATGTGGCTTTGCTTTCCTGAAGGATGTTTACTCCATAGTGTCCATTCCCCTAACCTGTAGTCCTGCCAGTTTCCTTTCACTCTTTCTGTGATCTTTTGCTGTTAGGTAATGTTTACTCTATGCTGGTTGTATGTTGTCTTGAAGTGGTCTCCATGCCACCTGCTAGGATTAAATTTGCCTGGCTGCCTCTTACTACTTTTTAATCAAGCTTCCTTATTTGTGTAATTCCCCTTTCTACAGCTGAATGCAACTGTGCAGTTTTTTTGTTGTTCCTATAAAGATGGTGAGCATTGCAGTCCTGGTTAAGGAGCAGATCATTGAATGTAGTATTTTGAACAGTGTCCCATGCACTGCTCAGGACCAAATCAAGGAGTGTGTCTCCTTTCACCTACTTCCTAAGCAGCCGTTCCATTGATTTGTTAACTATGTTGGCTTTTTCCACATAAGGTTGGGGTTTTTTTACCCATAGGATAGAATACCATGGTTTTAAATGAAAATCTGGGAAAGCCACCTTTGCAGTGGCTCCTACAAGCAAACGTGCCTCTCTTGGGGGTTTACAGCTATTTAATAGTGCAAAAGGTTTTTCAGGACACATCTAAATCCCATATATGAAGGATTACTTACATGTTGAAGATCTTTGTAATAAAGAAGTAAACAATAAATGCAAGTCTAATATTTTTCCCTTTGGGTTGCCTTTTAAAAGAAAAGGGGGGGGGACGGGGACTTTTTTCCCCTGAGGTATTGTTTGTGTAAGCAGGTAGTTGATACATTCCACAGATCTAATGAGAGATGATTGTTCTGTTCCATTGGCTAATTACAGAGGGAGCTCTTATCTGGTACTAACAAAAGTACAGCATGTGTATGCATATGTATTGTTTTGATTTCTTTTCTGTTTCTTTTCTTTTTTCCTTATCAGCCCACTTGCATGGAGCTGCCAGAGGAGCTGCGTCAGCTGGCAGACATCCAGAAGCTGCGAAGGGACAAAGCAATAAAAAACTACAAAATGAATGAGGATGGTCTTTTGATCAGACCAGCCATGGAATTAAAAGAGAGAAACGATCCACAGAAGGATGGAAACTACAGAGACGACGGGGATTGCTTTTGCAAAAGTAAAGCGGTGTCTCAAATTACATCATTCTACAATCAGGATGTACTTTGTCAAGAAAAGCTTGAAAATCAAAATCAAGTGGTAAATCTGTGGAAGAACCTTAAACCGACCTCAAGCTAGCTGTACGAATCTAATTTCTGATACAGGTGACTTGATGAGCTTAGACTGGGTATTTGAAGACATCCAAATGAAAAAAGGGGCTATTCCCCATGCAGAAGTGTCAAACAAAAGCTCCTTTCTTTACAAACCCATTGTTGAATGGAAATAATGATGGTCTTTCTTACAAAGGAAATTCCTTCTGTGTCTGGCTGTTCTTCTTCAGGTCTACTTTTGAGATCCATTTTTTTCCAAGAGCTATTTTTGATTTTAAAACAGTGACTTTTGTTTTTCTTGCGTTGTTATCAGACCAATGTCTTAAACCGTATTGGTTCTTTTGTTACCTGTTGCAAATATGTAAAACTCTCATTCAATCCAGATGTGTGAACAGGGGAGCTTCTAAGATGCCTGTTCATTGAGATTAGAAAGGGTTTGCTTGGAAAAATTAAAAAAACCTTCTGGCCAGTCCATGTGGGCTTGGTTTATATACAGATAAGTCTCTTGGCATAGCTATACAACAGCCTTTCATAGGAGAGTGGAAAAGATCACACCCTAATGAACCACTATGCTGGCAAAAACAGCAAAGAGGTGTACTAAGAAAAAGGGCTTTTCTGCCCAGTCGGAGTTATTTTAGGCTAACTGAGAAAAGAAGCTTCCTGCTGAAAGTTGCATGACACCGTTGTTTGTCAGCACTGCTGTATCAAACTCGTGTAGATAAGGCTGTGTAACACTAATGGTGTATATATATAGACAAGTGTGTATAAGGGGGGGGGGGGGGGAAGCGGTAAATT